GAATTTATTTTGAGTTGAGAGAGCACCTCACATCATCTCATGCTGAAAATGTGGATTAAACAAATTTTTGGGGTGTGAAAGGTCCACGTGATTGCTCCAGAGGTGTGAAGGCTGAACCACTGCTCTAAAACTTAAGCTTAAATTGGCGGATTTTTTGTGGTGGCTTTCCAGATGAAAAAGTTTGATAAAAGTTTGACCTTATAATGCAATTGAAAATGTGGATTTTGTGATCAGTTCTACCAAACTCAAGATAACTGAAATATATATTGGGTGCCTCTAAAAAGCTAACTTTGACACAATCCTGTTATATTTTAGAATCATTCACAATTATATACGCTATGGAATATCGATACTATAGAGATTATTCTATATGGCTGGTATTTGTTCAGCATTGTAAAATAGCGATGTCTGGTTTTACAGGTCATCAGAGGATAAAGATTTGACTAAAATATTATGATTTTTTGATTTTTTAAAATTAATTCTTGGGTGTTAAAGGAACGAGTACCCCATTTTTCTTTGGGTGTAGGGGGGGGGGGGGAAATGTTAGTCTTGAATAGTCTTCAGAAGTCCTAGAAAATACTTCAAAGTAGGAATTTTACTTACTATTTCTGTATATGTATTTTGTATATATCATAGGGTATCTTAACATGACGAGTCGTCTTTTTAAATTTCAAACGCGGATAGTTTTGGATTTGAACGCTCATATTTCGACGATGAGCTCTGTACTCTATTACTGATTGGCCTAGATTAAAAATTACAATTTCTGAGACTAACGTATGATTGGTCAAAAAATGGCACACCTGTCGTCTTATAACTATAACGCCAGTTTCGGAATAGATGAATACTGACTTTGATATTTTCAACTAGCGAAAGTAGTCATGCAAGAGAAAAAGACATCGTTTTTCAAGCTTTCCATGTTAGAAATAGATTTTACTAAAGGTTAATACATAGTTAATCCAAGGGAGCAATTATGGTGCTTGAGACAGTATTCAAGGAGCTTATGATCCCTTATCCTCTCTGTTTAGTTGAAAAATGTTAATTTACATGATCATCATGATTGTAATTACGATCTTTCGGAGTTGAGCAAATACACACACTATCATAATATATGCAGACTGGTTCATGGTCCGGTGGGTGCCTTCAATATTATGTTCATGGAGAGATGTATTCATGGTAGTCCTCAATATCGCAATTTATTCATGAAAAACATCGCCACTCGCGGAAATTACCACATTCAGAATATACCTCGTCTAGGTTTTTTTAGCATGTTTGATACATAAACGACGGATAGATAAAACAAGCAATATTACTTCTTCAATATTTTATTAAAGTGAATTGTAACATGGCAGTCTAAAGGTGAAAAATACAAATATAATAAAACACAAAACATTTTTTGGCACATTTACGGAAATAACCATATTTTCCTCTAAGACAATTTATGCTTTACAATTCAATTAATACAAATAGTTACTCTTTCAAATATTCCGGAAACTTTGGCTCGTGCCTGTCAGATGATGAACCAAAAGGATTCCAGAAACTGGCGGACATTTTCAGGAATATGGGAAACTTTTAAAACTCGTTTTATATTTATATCTTAAGGGGTTCTGGTAACCTAGCAATATAAAGCATCCTATCAAATTCTTAGCAGTCAAATACTATCAACTACAATCGACCTCTTAGGTCGGTGACATGAGCAACTTATGGCAACAGGCAGCATTTTGGATCTTTTAGTCAACGGTAATCTAAGGTCCAAATGACCAGATTGTCCTTATAGATACCACCAGATGCAAGCAGAAGTTGAAAATCCAGGCATCATATTTCCAACTTAAGTCCCCATTTTTATAACCAAAATGAGTTAAATGATTTTAATAAATTATTAAAATATATCCTAATAAATCTTCAGTGTTATGCAAGTTATAAACAACCTTTGTCGATTACGTGTCTCTTTCTTGGCATAAAAAGTAAAATTATTATAGCTAGTTAGTGACTCATATAAACGACACGGCTGAAGAGGAAAACAATTAATTCTACATAAAAGAAAATAAACGTAATGAAGTGAGAGTTTACAACTTGTGAGATTAGAAATCAAAGAAAAAATACCAAAATATTTTAACTTTAAGTGTTTTTTTCTTGTTATCAGTTTTTCGTCTGCCGTCACGTCGCATTGTTCTGCAATGTCGCCATGTTCAGACGTCAGGCTAGCGATAAGCGCCATTACCTCGAGTAGCCACCCTTTTCTCGAATATCACGACATTTTATTATCAATGCATTTTGACTTTTAATATCACGTCTTGATGATCTTGATCAACCCTCCCACGACAGTAGTGCCCCCTCGGACCGCACAAGATGATGACGTAGATCACAGTTTTGAAGAGATGAGGTGATTAGTATGATCATTAAGAAGCTCATTGCGGGGGGTCATTATCTTAATTTATGTCGGTTTAACTAGAGAAAATGTGAAGTGTTTATTGCGAGGGAGGTGCACCTTTCTGCAAGCAGGTTTGAAGCAATTAATAAAACTGAAGATGCGATTCGTACCGTAAACCAAAAAGAAATTGTTTTCTTTTTTTTTTTAATTCAATTTTGAAAATGTTAAATAAATAGTTACTTAAAAGAGGTTTTCTAACATTTTCTATGTGTGTCTTGGACACTGATAGTTTTTACTATACCAACTTTCACAATGAATTTACTATAAAAATCTACTTATTTCGTTTGTGGTTTTAAAATTTTTTTCAGGTTAATCGAAAGTCATGCGTGATCTGAATAAATTCTTTTGTTAATCGTGTTAAACAATACAAACAATGTTTACAATGAACATTCCAGAATTAGTTTACATACATAATGAACATAACATTGTATTGGTTGAATATTAAATAATCCAAAAAGAAGATGTTAGTCAGATTATGGATGTCAAACGGAGTCACCCAGAGAAAAAACACCAAACGAAGCATCCATTTTTGAAATGTAATGAGATCAAGAAGTTAAGTGCATGAAATCGTTGTCCTTCCCTAATTCTCTCTGTACGTAAACAACATTAAAGAGTAATCTTCAGTCAGTTAAGATAGTGAAATATGATGCCCACCCGAGGAGATAGGGTAATTTATCTGTTTTAAGATCTGAAACCACTTTGTCCCGTCTTAATTCACAAGATATTAAATTATACTGAGTTAAAATGAGGTCTGAAATGGATTCCATTTGGGTTATTTATACACTCCACTTTGACCATGAATAAATAAATAAAATAAGATTTGAGAAGGATTCTGATAATGATAATGTTAATATTTGTTCGTCAAGATTTTAATATATTGAGTAAAAAACACTCAGGAGGGAGAATTAGAAAGGTGTTCATATAAATAAACTTAATGAAATATACTCATGAAAATATTTCTAAGATATCATGAATATAAATATTAGGATGATCGAACTAGTGGATTGATGTAGACGCTGTAAAGAAATATGATTCCAAGTAGGTTCTACTTTTACTTTCCTTTCATAAAATGGACATAGTCATCTACATACGCGTATTTATTAAATCCATTTCAGAATGAAAATTGGACTTCCTGTTCGTATGCAAATTAATATCAACATATCGATAGACGTTTGACAGTCTGTTTTCAAAAGGCCTCTGTAATAAACGACATAATGCAGCCGTGTTAAGGGGAAGGCCGCTTTATATTCTGAAAAGTAATGGGGGTAGCTGAAATGAATGCTTAGTGGTATCATATACACTGGCAGAATAAACACTTAATGTCACCCTGCGACACTTCACTGTTATAACACTTTATCTATTGCTCTGTGACCTAGGACAGTGCTTTCATTGAGACTCGTCTCAATACACCCTAACACTAGCTATGGAGGAGGATTTGTGTCATAAGTATTTTTTACACGGAAACCCTTTCATACTTAATACTGTATTTTGTGTAATGTTCATTATTGTGTAAAATATAGCATTACACAATTTGGTCTGTAAACATAAAAAAAAATACAAAGAGATCTAACACAATACTAATGAGAGTGAAAAACAATTATAGAAAACATTAAAAACAATCTAAACTATCACATATTCAGTTTACACTTTGCATTGCCATGCTAATTTTGTCTCTAAAAAACGTATTTGAAATTCAGTTTACTTTTCGTACAAAAGTCAATAATCGTCAATAAGACTTATGTCTTAACTGACAGTTTCCTCGCATTACGACCATCGCAGTCTAACATTTTTGTAACTTTAAAGCTACTTTTCATATTCTTAAAACGTTCGCACACATTGATCTCTGTGATCTTGAAAAAGTCGTTTCATATCGCATATTCCGAAACGTTAGAATGAAAAATTCTCTACATTGAAAACTGAATCATGATAACAAGAGCTACAAATTGCGTTCAATATATCAACAATACCAATATACCACGGCCAGTGCTCTTGAGGATCGGTTCGTTGTTTTAAAATATGCAACCTCCTTTCACCTAATCTTGCGGCCTTAGAAACCGTATATATATTGGCTTGAAAACCTTTATATACGAGGCACAATATTGTACCGATGGTCGTATGCTATTATTAGGATCAGTCAGCTTCAATTTCTTTTCATATTTCACTTTATCGAGTATTTTGAGACGAACCATGGACGTGTCTCTTTGTAAAAATCATCACATCCCATTCTGTGTACCAGTTCCCACACAACACGATGAGGCTATACGTATGATACGACATTAGTGATACCATTTTCACCTTACAGGCGAATGGGACGCTATGAATTTAGCTGATTATGCAAATTCTATTGTTTTGTGAATAAGGGGTCATCAAATGACCTGATTTAATTCCCATTGTTTCTTTATAACACTATCACGTGACACTAATTACGGTGACGTAGTAAGTCAGGTCAGTGCGCGTGCTCAAAGATCACAAAATCAAAGTGTCTCGTGCCCCACACGTGCAATATGAATATTATCAGTATTATTATAAAATGATAATTCACTTTGTCAAGTTGAATAGGGTTCGATTTGAATCATTGTTTTAACTCCGAGGCCCAAACATGTTGCGGCCAACCCGTTCGCCCATTTATATTATTTTTCTTTTCGTCTGCAGAACTGCCACACACACTACCTGAAACACTTCCGGTTGATGACGCGCTGTCACTGTCGCCTTCCTGAAAAGAGAAAAGACGTTGCCATTAGAAATACGTCTTTAAATATCAATATCTTGATACATAATACATTCTTTACCCTTCTTACTTCGCCAAAATAATAGTATTTAACCATAGTTGTGCATAAAAGCGACAAATATATTTATTACTATCCGGATATTCTGAGCTTCCATTTATGGCCATCCCGAAGCCGAAATGCTAAAAACAAATCAGATTTTTTACACCAAAATTTCATCGAGTATAAAAGTAATGAAAATCTTTTTTGAATGAAATACTCATGATAAAGTAGGTCTTTCATTTGAAACAACACATTCTAATAATAACAAACTTAGTAGATCTCTATTGCACAAATTTTTTTTTACAAAAATTGCACTATATATATAGTATCTGGACACGCATATACCGTTAATTGTTTGAGGATAATAGATACCATTATTGTACCACAGTTCGTTACCGAACAAACAATTAATATCGGCTAATCATGTTGCTAAATTATTTGATCTCAAAGAACACAAATTTGTTGAAATCCTTTGGGAAAAACTAGAAAATGCGCCTCCTTTTCTGAATAACTAATTTGATTATAAAATATTTGACTATCAATTTTCGGCATTAATCAGTTAAAACATAAATCTATCTTGGTCTAATTATACATCCCGACAGAACGGCTCCCTTTCACCGTCACAAATTTGTTTACATGGAAGCGTACAAATTTGAAAACGTCTTATTATAAGAAGCGAAAATATATAAAATAGCAGGCCGTATAATTTAGGTAAAGAAACTTTCAATTCATTTTATTAAAAAGTTTATTTTTTAATATTTTCACGACGTGAAGTTAATAAAGTATAGGATCGTCTGCAGAAAAAAACAACTAAAATATTAATTTCGTCTCTTGGGGCGTCTAAATTCGAAAATTGAACGAAACTTGTAATCTGCCTTTAAAATTAGAGCCTGTCAATTTGAATTAAATTTAAAATGCAGAAAATGTCGGACGGACGAGCATCCCCACTGAGTTCATAACATGATGAAATTGAGAATTCAAAAACCACAGAAAAAAATACCCCTCTTAAAATTTATGAAATAACTTAATTTCATTTAATGGCTTGTAAATGAGATAATTTAAAAGAATTTACAAAAAAAATCTAGCACATGCAGTAGTTTTAGGTTTCTGTAAGGTTTTCATTTAAAAATTATCTTAACGGTTTATGTCTATTTTTTTGAGAATTGCTCTCTTCGATTGTCATCAATTTATTTATTTTTATAAAATGAAAATGGAAAATTCCGATAGGCAATGTTCTCGTCTTTTGAGAACTTGAATAAAACAGTGTACCTAAAGGGCCATCGTTTAGTGACGAGCAGCTGAATTGAACTTTTGTGAAGACGATTTTATCAAGCACCAATTTCGTATTCTGCAAAAGACAATAAATTGAGCTGCGATTTGTATAGCCTATCAAAGCCTTTGGTTACAACATACAATTCCCTTTGCAATGGGTTTTACTCGATAATAAAACAAGCTCACGAAGAGAGAAAAACTTCCTTCAATTTATTAATTCATAAACTTTTATCTTTTAGTCAAAGGTTATCATAAAACATATCTCCTCAGCCATATTTATGAAAATATTAGTTTTATTTTTATCAAATATAAACACAGCATTTCATTCACTGCGGGATTAGGTTCTCGCATGTTTAACGAGATATTGCGATGAATAACGAGATATAATAATATATGGGTAGTTTTCGTGCGATTTGGATTTTAAAGATAAAGTTATTTATGTTTTTCTGCTTAATTTGATTAAATTTATCTAACAATATTCAATTCAGTCTATAGAACTTAATATCTTGCAAATTGATGCTAGGCCTCTAGATTTCCTTTTCAACGGAATTGTTTCGGATTCTGTAAATTGTTGTCAGATCGTAGTAAACTTTACATTCATTTGGAATATAGCTCCATGGTGTTCAATCCAATACATTCTGAATAATTTGAGCATAAATTAGCTACACCTTGAACGCAACCGGACAAAGAACGAAGACGAGTACCCACGGAGGTAGACCTTGTAACAAAAGTTAGTGAAAAAAGGACGCTATGGTGAGGCACAAGCTGGGATAAATGTTTTTACATAGTGTCATGTCATATATATAGTGTTCGGATTTTAATCACTGCACCCCCTCTGACTAACAGTATTAACACTATCTGTCTATTTGTTTTTAAAGTTTTGATGTATCTAGTGTAAATAATGTTAGTGGTAAAATATTTTAATATTAGAGCCCAAGCTTGTGTTATTGCCTAGTAGAATGCTATTGATGCCTTGAACAGAAGAGTAAAAAAAATGAAAAAAACATCACCCATCCCCCTCACTCAGAATATTTAAAAATAATCTAGATAACTTGAGTTGGTAACGTTTTCCATCTGGGACGTAATTCCACCTATTAGATCAAGTTTTATTAGAACTGTACAATTATTTATATCTAGAAGGAAAATATTCTTAAGGTGGTCATGACACACTCTTAAAGTGACAGTGCGTTTTAATTTACAGTGTATATAGTTTTATCATAGTTAATTATGAAAAGAATCCTTTTTTTAAAAAAAGAAAAGATTCTACGGATGTGAAGGACCCAGGATTACTCTGTCAACTGCAAAAATTAATATTGACTTTAGGATATAAAAAAACAAGAAACATATATCTTTGTTGAACCCTGGGAGACAGATTTTAGTCACAATCTTCTCTCACTTCAGTCCTAACTTTTACTACCACTTGGCGGCCATTACAGCCAAAACTGGAATGTGATGGTTCATTACTCTTTGACAGATATGATACAAATTTATATTGCACGTTGTCACCAATTGATAATACCTCACTAGTTACAATAACTTGACCTGTTCTTGGCACCCTGGTATTAGGTTTCATGTTTCATGTCTAGAGCCCTTCTTCACTAGATTAAATTTGAAATTTTGGTTCTCTTAAGCAAAACTCTGTTCTTTGAAAAGAAGATAGTCGTGAAAATTTCAGAAATCAGAATCCTATCAATCAGGAATATCAACAAACAAATCTGATCACTATAGAAACACACTTTTATATGTGATCAAGTTTTGCAATTTTTAAAAAGCTGCAAAGTTTTAGCATTTCAAAACCATATAAAAAGTTTGGAGGCTAACGTATTTATTCAAATAAACAGATAAATAGATTGTTACTCATAATTTGACAGTACCAAGTAATATTTTTATGAATAAGTTCTTGTAGGAAATGCATCCAAATCTTCAAATCTGTGCTCATAAAATTAGCAGTGTAAAATAGGGTAAGTAAGTAAATGAAATAAATCGCTGCTTTTCATGACTGAAATTGCTGAAGCGCCATAGATGTTCGATGGGTCCCCGAGGTTTAAAAGTGTTTTACATTACAGTAAAATACATTTAGACAGAAACAGCAACTCATTATGGACATACATTCATACCGAGTAAAGCGACAGTCGCAGCGTTGGGTCTGTGGCCCACTTAGGGGTGGGGTGGGGTGGGGTCCTCAGTGGGGTCCATAGGCGAAGTCTATTCATGCGCCAATTTACATTGAATAATTTCAAAACAAGATACAAAAGAAATCAAGGAGTTTATAGAAGGGTTCTAAGAAAATTGAATGAAGGTCAATAAGAAAAGTTATTGTAAGAGAGGTCATAAAGATGTGTATGTATGTAATATGATACTGGTCAAACATTAGGGCAGAACTTTATTTTGAAACTTTAATTGGGCAGATTTATTGCAATGTAAAGACCTGATGACATATTGTTTACAGTAGACATACCAACTAATTATAGTCACTGAACCATGGGCAGTACAGAATACTCTTTTCTTGGTAGTAAAAGTTAGGACTGACTTTATCATTTATATCGAAAAGCAAGACTGACTCGGCGTTAAAAGAATGTTATCCATAGCTCTTTGACAACCAAATGGAAGGACGATATTTTTTAAGACTGTTCATGTTTTTAATATGATGTTTTAAATCAAGGTGATGACAGTTCTATGTTTGATCTTAAAAGAAGGTCATCGTGTATCTAATAAATTAATTTTGAAAAGTTCACCGGATAGTTTATGTTTATATTGAAAAAATTGATTTTCCACAAAAAGGCATTCAATTTTGAAAAAATGATTTGATTTTCCACAAGAAAGGCATTCAATTATTTCTATTTTAGACGTGGACCATTTGTGCTATTGGACTCAAAAGGAAGTGTGCAATCTCTCACTAGAAATATTTACAGCATCAAAGACGAACATATTTTGTGGTTAGTCGGTGGTAAAAAGTAAAATAAAAACACACATGTCAATAGTAGACTTTTTACTACCGAGTTAAAACATATTGACCACCTAACACTTTTGAAATTGATTGTTTTTTTAAATCTTGAATGAAAAGACAATTCTGTAAATGAGTCTTATCATCCATAGATAGAGATGTTTTTGTGGAATTCTCGAAATAAGTTGGTAGGCCTACAATTTAGGAAGTATATCAGTTTTTGCTCTTTTTCATTTTGGCTCATCATGGTGATTAGTAAACCACAGTTAAATATATATATGTGTGATACAGAGGGAATTTTAAGCAGCTCTTCTGTTTAGTTTTCCTTATCAACGTGTTTTCATTAATTTTAACTTGACCTCAGATAACTCTCCACTCCAAAACTCTTTGATATCAAGTCAAATGTGAGTTGGGTTGGAGGATATAGTTAATATAGCGTCGCCCTCTATCAGTGACGTCATTAATTCTAATATGGTCTAAATAAATAAACTAATATCAGGAGAAGTTTCTATGAGAATCATGATAAAATACATCCTGAATATTTTGATGTATTACGAAAATAAAGTGTGTTCTTGAGAATTTAGTTAACAAGTGGTTCTGTGTAAACCTCCATTTCATTCTTGTTCTTGCTTAAAGAAAAGGTCTATTTTATATTTTCTGAC